TAGCCTGGTGCTGGTACTCTACCTGGCCTAGTGTTGTCACTCTACCTGGCCTGGTGTTGTCACTCTATCTGGCCTGGTGTTGGCACTTTACCTGGCCTGGTGTTGGCACTCTACCTAGCTTAGTGCTGGTACTTTACCTGGCTTGGTGTTGGCACCCCATACTTGTGTCACTCTACCTGGCCTAATGTTGTCACTCTACCTGGCCTGGCTTTGGTACTCTACCTAGCCTGGAGTTGGTACTCTACCTGGCCTGGTGTTGGTACCCCATGCCCTTGTCATTATCTGGCCTGGTGTTGTCACCCATCCCTGTGTCACTATCTGGCCTAGTGCTGTCACTCTACCTGGCTTAGCGTTGTCACTCTACCTTGCCTGGCGTTGGTACTCTACCTGGCCTGGCGTTGGTACTCTACCTGGCCTGGTGTTGGCACTCTAACTGGCCTTGTGTTGTCAATCTACCTGGCCTGGCGTTGGCACTCTGCCTGGCCTGGCGTTGGTACTCTGCCTGGCCTGGCGTTTGTACTCTTCCTGGCCTTTGTGTTGACAGTCTACCTGGCCTTGGCGTTGTCACTCTACCTGCCTGGTTGTTGGGCACTATCCTTGTTCTGGTGTTGGCACTATACTGGCCTTAGGTGTTGGCACTATACCTGGCCTGGTTTTGACACTATACCTGGCTTGGTGTTGGCACTCTACCTGGCCTGGTATTGGCACTCTATCTGTGGCCCTCTGCCCTTTACGAGAGAGGAAGTTTGATCTGTGATGAGGAGGGTGAGGGGTGGGGGGAGAGGGAAGAGAAGGTGAAGGGAGGACGTAGAGTGGTGAAGAGGGGAGATGAGAAAGGGAGAAAGGTGGTGGGAGGGAGATAGAAAACATAGAAGTGTATTGGTATGTGTACTTACTTCTATTTGTGATTCAGGGGGTCGATTCACTGTCCTATCGGTGTAGTGTGTGTGTGTGTGTGTGTACTACCTAACTGTACTCAACCTAATTGTGGTTGATGGGTGTCGGAGATCAGCTCCTGGCCCGCCTCTTCATGATCGCTACTGGGTTCCGCTCTCTCTCTGCTTCCTGAGCTTTGTATACTTTCTTAAAACTATGTATGGTTCCTGCCTGTGTGTGTGTGTGTGTGTGTGTGTGGGGTTGTGTGTGTGTGTGTGTTGTGTGTGTGTGTGGTGTGTGTGTGTGTGGTGGGAGTGTGTGTGTGTGTGAGTGTGTGGTGAGGTGTGTGTGTGTGTTTTGTGTGTGGTGTGTGTGTGTGTGTGTGGTGTGTGTGTGTGTGAGTGTGTGTGTACCACCTTTTTTGTATCACCTATTTGTGGTTGCAGGGGTCGAGCCCTAGCTCCTGGCCCCGCCTTTTCCCACGGTTGCTACTGACCTCTCTCTCCCCGCTCCATGAGCTTTATCAAACCTCGTTTTAAAAAATGTGTATGGTTCCTGCCTCCACTACGTCATTTTCTAGGCTATTCCACTGCCTTACACTCTATGACTGAAGAAATACTTCTACTATCTCTCTGACTCATTTGTGTCTTCAACTTCAATTGTGGCCTCTTGTTTCTGTGTCCCCTCCCTGGGGAAAATCCTGTCCCTTTTCCACCTTGTCTATTCCACGCAGTATTTATATGTCGTTATCATGTCTCCCCTGACCCTCCTGTCCTCCAGTGGGCGTAGGCCGATTCCCTTAATCTTTCTTCATAGGACATTCCCCCTTTGCTCTGGAACTTACCTTGTTGCAAACCTTTGTACTTTCTTAGTTTTTTTGACGTGCTTTATCAAGGCGGGGTTCCAAACAGTCTGCATACTCCAGTATGGGCCTGACATACACGGTGTACAGTGTCTTGATGATTCCTTACTAAGGTGTCGGAATGCTGTTCTCAGGGTTTTCCAGGCGCCCATATGCTGCAGCAGTTATCTGATTGAGTGGTTCCGGAGACTGCTGGGTGTTATCTCCCCCCAAATTTTCCCCTTGTGTGAGGTTTGCAGTCGGCCCCCGCCTATACCTGTCTGAGGTTTTCTGTCCCCTTTCCCCCTATCTTAGACTTTGCATTGGCAGGAAAAATTCGAGAAGCCAAATTGCGGACCAGGTTTCCAGTCTGTCCAGGTCTTTTTGAATCCTGCCTGGTCCCATCAGATTTAATTCTCCTCATTAATTTCCCCAAATCATTGCAAACAGGGACACTTTGATCAAACCCTTCGTCTGCGTTCACAAACCCCCCAAAAATAGCACGGTCCTAGACCGACCCCTGTGGGCCCCCCGCTGTCCAGGTCCCCACTGTGATACATCTTACGTCCTGACTCGTTGTTCCCTCCCTGTCAGGTATTCTCGATCATTCAGTGCCCTTCTGTTATATGGCCTGATGCTCTAGCTTCTGCATAATCTCTTGTGAGGAACTGTGTCAAGGCCTCTTGCAGCCAAAAAGGGATGCAATAAACCCACCCCTCTTCTCTTGTTTACTTCTTATTTTACAAAAAACCCCAGAATTTTTTGTGACACAGGTTTGCCTTCCGTGAACCCGTGCTGGTTATTTATCTCCTTTCCTTTCCCAGGGCTCCACCCCTTTCCTCTGAAATCCCCCATAATTTTGCAAAATATCACGTCAATGACACAGTCTAAGTTTGTGCCTTTTTTCGTCCCCTTTTTTGAAAATGGAACTAATTTGTGTCTTCCAACCTATTTTTTCCCCCATTTTCCAGGGATTTTTTAAAGATTGTGGTAAGTGGACCAAACATATTTCCTTTAAGGACCCGGGAGGTTGCCCGGTCCCATTGCCCTTTTTGGTTTGTGCCCTTAGCAGTTTTTTACCTCCTCCTCATCTGTATGTATGTCGTCCAACACTTGTTGGGTTTTCCCCTTTTTGGTGTCCCCATCGGTCTGTTTCCCCCCCCCCCCCGGGTCCTTCCTTCTCACTGTAAATACTTCCTTAAATCTCGTGTTGAGCTCCTCACATACCTCTTGATCGTTTCTTGTGAGTTCTCCCCTTCTTTCCCCAGCCTTTTCCCTGGTCCTTGATGTTTCTTTTTCCTAATGTGGCTATTTCAGCAGTTTGGGAGATTTCTTTCGACTAGTCGTTTTCATACTGTCTCTGGGGGCCTCCCTCCTTATCTGCGCAACTCGTTTCTGGCTCTTTTACTAAACTCCTTTGTTTTCCTGGGCCATGCCTCCCGTACCTTTTCCTTCTCTGTTGCACTTACTTTTGCCCCCTACACCTTCGGGGTAAACCAAGGATCGCTTGGTTTTCCTATTATTTTGTTTCCCCCTTTGGGAACAAAACTTTCCTCGCTCCCTTTACTTTTTTGCCCAAAATTTCCTCATTCGTTTACTGATTTTCCTACCCTTTCTTTTCCCACGGAACCCCTGCAGGAAGTTTCTCATACCTGTGTGCCCCCTTTTATATTTGGCCTGCCCCTTCTTCCTGTTTCCTTCTCCATTGAAACTCTACTATTAGTCAAAACTCAGAACAACATGATCGCAAGCTCCAAGGGCATCTCGTAAGTGATGTCTCGATGTCTTGAACTGCTCAGGGTGAACACAAGATCCGGTCTTGCTGGCTCATCTCCCCTCTCCTCTTGGTTGTGTCCCGCCATGTTTGATGCTGAGGGTTTTCAAGTCCACATCCATCATCTTTGCTTCGCCATGTTTTCTGGGACCCCCATGTGCTCAGGTTTTCCCAGTCGCTCTCCCTGTGGTTGAAACGCCCATTACCAGTAACTTTGCTCTGCTCGAGTGTGCTTTCTTGCCACTCTGCAGTGTGTCCACCATCACCCTGTGGTTTTTCTTCGTACTCCTCTCTTGGACTCCTGCAGTCTTGTGGTGGGTTATACATCACTCCAATGACTACTTTATGTTCTCGGATGAATTGTACTACAATGTAGTCTCTTTCCTCCAATCATGTTCCATATTCCTTCTTTTCCTCAAATCCCATTGGTCGATTTATGGAGCAGTGCAAACCCTCCTCCCCCTCTACTCCTTCTGTCTTTCTCAGGATCTGATATCCTGTTGGGAGATTGTGTCTGTTATTATCTCAGGAGTTTTGTTTCTGGACTGCTATGATGTCTGGGGATTTTTCACTGATTCTTTCATTTCCATCCTCATGTTTATTCATTATTCCATCCGCCAGTTGTGTACCAAACCTTTGTTTCTTTTCTTTCATTGTGGTCATGCAAGTATATGGGGTTGGGGGAGGGGAGAGCCTTGGTGGGGGCTATATGGGGCTGTGTGTAGGTGGGGTATGTGTTGATGGGGGTGGGGTCAGATGCCATAAGGGACAGCTGTTTGGGGTTGAGGTTTGTGATATGGGGGTTCGGTAGGCAGTGGGAACAGTGAGTGGGGTTGGAGTATTGTTGCTCAGTGCGTTGGGGAATGTCGCGGGGGGTGGGGTGTCTTTTGGTGGGTGATTCTGTGGGTTGTGTTTGCCCCTTCCTCCTGTGTCTGGGTCCTGCTGATTTTCATTGCTTCTCGTCCTCCTGCGTCTATGTACCTCTCTTTAAGAGTAGTCCTTTCTTCTTGTGTTCTGTCGCGGTCTGGTATACTCTTCTGGTACCCTCTTGTCTCTCAGTCTTGCTTTCTCTTGCAGAATCCTGATTCGAAACTGATTCTTCCTTGAATAAGTTACTCTGACAGAGCCGTATCCTTCCCTCGGCTAAAACCACCCAATTCTCTGAAAATTTGTTCACCTGGGTTCATATTGCCTCCCCTATTGGTTTTCATGATGCCCTTCAATCATTTTTTTTTCTCTCTCGTTTTATTTCTTCAAAGTTGGCCCCATTGGGCTTCTTGGAGCCCTTAAACAAAAAACTGACTCGCCCTTTCCTCCCCCCTCCACTGAGTTCTCCATCTGCTTCCTTCTGAGGCATTTTGTTTCCTTCCATTGACATGTTCTTGCCTTCAGTCCCTTGGTCATATTGAACACATCTATTCTCAGTGGACTGTTTTTCTTGCAGCTGTCCCTTGCTACTGCAGTTGGCTGTTAGATCTTGCATATATACAAACCTTCATTTTCTACGACCTGTCGCTGCTCTTAGTTGGGTCATCGGTTCTTTCCCTGGCCCACGTGGGTCTGATAGGTCCTTCTTGTAACGGCATGTCTACGTTGTTTCGTACCATCACCTTGTCTGCGCCTGGACTCTGAAGTTCCATCATTGTCTTCAGACCTGTCGTTTGATTAGTGTGCCTCGTGTCTTTTCTGGCCCCACGTGGGTCTGATAGGGCCTTCCTGTACGGCATGTCTTCGTTGTTGGCTTACAATCCCCTTGTCTGCGCCTGATTTGAAATTTCCTGATGTCACGTTGAATTGTCATTTGTCTCTCTATATCTGTTTCAGGCTTTGCAGTTTCTTTCTAAGCACTGGATTACTTGCTTCTGCTTACTGCTAAGGCCTGTACTTCCTCTTCCTGCACTCTTCTGCTATCCGCTCCTCCAGTTTCTTACCTAGCTCTACTTATCTTCCTTCCCCAACTCTTCCTCCCTTTTTTGCGCTCTAAAACTCCAAGTCTTTCCTCCTGGTTCTTCTACCAGATCTCTGGTTTTCCGTCCTCTAAGGCCACCTTATTTTTTTTTTTTTTTTTTTTTTTTATTTTTTTTTTGTTTTATTTTTTTTTTGTACCGCAGACTGAAAGGTAGTGGAGGGGGGGGGTGTGGGGGGGAGAGAAAGGGTATGAGAGTGAGGAGAGAGCAAGGGTAGAAAGAGGGAGAGAGAGGAGAGAGTATAGGGGTGAGGGGTAGGGGTAAGACCAAGGCGGGAGAGATGAGAAAATGTGAGGGGGGGGGAGAAAGTGTGTGTGTGTGGTGTGTGGTGTGTGTGTGTGTGTGTGTGTGTGTGTGTGTGAGTGTGAGTGTGTGTGTGGTGTGTGAGTGTGTGTGTGTGTGTGTGTGGTGTGTTGCTCATATATGTGGATGTATGTTTGTTTCTGAGTGGCATGTGTGTATGTATGTGTTGGGGTTTGTGCATTTGTTTGTGAGTCAGTTTTGTTCTCGACTCAAAACTCACTCTCTTCCAGGAGCTGAGTCTCGGACCCTGCAACCTCTATTAGGTGAGGACACACCACACCACACACAACACCACACACACCACACACACTCACGCGCACACAACACACACACACCACACACACACAAAAACACACACACAGCACACACACATACACTCACACACACACACACACACACACACACACAACACACGCACCACACACATACACACACACACACACACACACACACCACTCACACACTCACACACACACACCCCCACAACACACACAGTTTGAGTGTGGTCATCACATCGGGGTACTTCCATACCTTCATTACTGATATTCTTCACCTTGCTTCATCACTCTCCCTCGTTCACTCCCTCCCAGAGAAGCCATTTGTCATTTCTTTCCCTAGGACACACATTCTTTATCATCATTATTTCTTTAATCTATCCAGCCGCATTTATTTCTTCCAACTTTCAATCTTTTGTCACTTCTGTCTAATCTCCACCTCTCTGAATATGTCTGTCTGTCTGTCTGTCTGTCTGTCTGTCTGTGTCTGTCTGTCTGTCTGTCTGTCTGTCTCTCTCTCTCTCTCTCTCCCCTCCTCAATTATCTTGTCGGCTACCCTTCCTTCTCCTCCTTTCCATAATTTCACATTTTGTCATGCTGATGAACAGTGCCACACCCTGGCTCTGAGATTACAGCAGCAGCAGTGCCACCAGTGCCACACCCTGGCTCTGAGATTACAGCAGCAGCAGTGCCACCAGTGCCACACCCTGGCTCTGAGATTACAGCAGCAGCAGTGACCGTGCCAACCCTGGCTCGGAGATTACAGCAGCAGCAGTGCCAGTGCCACCGTGCCACACCCTGGCTCTGAGATTACAGCAGCAGCAGTGCCACCAGTGCCACACCCTGGCTCTGAGATTACAGCAGCAGCAGTGCCACCAGTGCCACACCCTGGCTCTGAGATTACAGCAGCAGCAGTGCCACCAGTGCCACACCCTGGCTCTGAGATTACAGCAGCAGCAGTGCCAAACCCCCCAAAAAAAAAGTGCCACACCCTGGCTCTGAGATTACGCTGCAGCAGTGCCACACCCTGGGCTCTGAGTTTTACAGGCAGCAGGCAGTGCCACCAGTGCCACACCGGGCTTGAGAATTACAGCAGCAGCAGTGACACCAGTGCCACACCCTGGCTCTGCGATTACAGCAGGGCAGCGTGCCACACCTGGCTCTGAGATTACCAGCAGCAGTGCCACAGTGCCCCACACCCTGGCTCTGAGATTTACAGCAGGCAGCAGTGCCACCTGTGCCACACCCTGGCTCTGAGATTACAGCAGCAGCAGTGCCACCAGTGCCACACCCTGGCTCTGAGATTACAGCAGCAGCAGTGCCACCAGTGCCACACCCTGGCTCTGAGATTACAGCAGCAGCAGTGCCACCAGTGCCACACCCTGGCTCTTGAGGATTACAGCAGCAGCAGTTGCCCACCCGTGCCACACCACTGGCTCTGAGATTACAGCAGCAGCAGTGCCAACAGTGTCACACCCTGGCTCTGAGATTACAGCAGCAGCAGTGCCACACCCTGGCTCTGAGATTACAGCAGCAGCAGTGCCACCCGTTGCCCACACCCTGGCTCTGAGTTTACAGCACAGCAGTGCCACCAGGTTGCCACACCCTGGTCTTGATATTACAGCAGCAGCAGTGCCACCAGTGCACACCTGGCTCTGAGAATTACAGCAGCAGCAGTGCCACCACACCAAACAAACAACAGCTGCAAAAGAAGCAGCCAGCAACAGTAGCAACACAACTGCAGCTGGAGAAACAGTAGCAGCAGCAACAGTGCAACAGCAGGCAACAGTAGCAAAACAGCCAATAACAGCAGCAACACAGCAGAAACCGTAGCCAACAAACAACAGCAACTGGAACAGTTGCAGCAGCAACAGTAGCAACAGCAGCAACAGTAGCAACAACAGCAACAACAGCAGCAGCAACATAGCACAACAACTGCAGCAGGAAACAGTAGCAGCAGGGCAACAGTCGCAAACAGCAAGCACAGTAAGCAACAGCTGGTAACAGTAGCAACAGCAACAACAGCAGCAACAACAGCAGCAACAGCAGCAGAAGCTGCGAGCAACAGTAGCAACAACAGCAGCAACAGCAGCAGCAACAACAACAGCAGCAGCAACAGCAGCAACAACAGCAGCAGCAGCAAGAGTAGCAACAACAGCAGCAACAGCAGCAGCAGCAACAGTAGCAACAACAGCAGCAAACAACAGCTCTGTGAACAGCAGCCGCAACTACAGTAGCAAATCAGCCAGCTACAGCAGCAGCAGCAACAGTAGCAACAACAGCAGCAGCAGTAGCAACAACAGCAGCAGCAGTAACAGTAGCAACAGCAGCAGCAGCAACAGTAGCAACAACAGCAGCAGCAACAGCAGCAGCACTCGTAACTGGTCATGGTCAGTAACCTGTGTGGTGGAATATGACAGTGCCCTCTGATTGTGGTGGAATATGAAAGTACCATCCTGTGTGATGGATATGACAGTACCCATCTTTGTGGTGGAAATATGACAGTACCCATCTGTGTGGATGGAATTTATGACTGTACCCATCCTGTGTGTGGAATATGACCAGTTTACCCATCCTGTGTGGTGGAATATGACAGTACCCATCCTGGTGATGAATGATGACAGTACCCATTCCTGTGTGGTGGCCTATGACTGTGCCCTTTACTGTGTGGTGGTGGAATATGTCAGTACCCATCCGTGTGGTGGAATATGACAGTACCCATCCTGTGTGATGGAATATGACAGTACCCATCCTGTGTGGTGGAATATGACAGTGCCCATCCTGTGTGGTGGAATATGACAGTACCCATCCTGTGTGATGGAATATGACAGTAACCATCCTGTGTGGTGGATTTGACAGTGCCCATCTGTGTGATGGAATTATGACGTACCCCATCTGAGTGATGGAATATGACCAGTACCCATCCTGTGTGGTGAATATGACAGTGGCCAATATGTGTGGTGGGAATTGACAGTACCCATCCTGTGTGATGGACTATGACAGTACCCATCCTGTGTGTGGAAATATGACAGTACCCTCCTGTGTGATGATATGACAGTACCCAATCCTGTGTGTGGAATATGACCGTACCCTTACTGTGTGATGGAATATGACTGTACCCATCCTGTGTGGTGGGAAATGACAGTACCCTCCTGTGTGATGGGAATATGACAGTTCCCTTCCTTTGTGATGGATTTAACAGTACCATCCTGTGTGGTGGAACTTGACAGTACCCATCCGGTGTGGTGGAATATGACAGTACCCATCTTGTGGTGAATATGACAGTACCCATCCTGTGTGTGGTGGAATATGACAGTAACCATCCTGTGTAGATGGAATATGACTATACCCTTCCTGTGTGGCTGGAAATATGACAGTTCCCTCCTTTTTGATGGAATATGACAGTACCCATCCTGTGTGGTGGAATATGACAGTACCCTCCTGTGTGATGGAATATGACAATAACCCATCATGGTGCTGGAGGATATGACAGTACCATCCTGTGTGATGGGAATAGGACGTACCCATCTGTGGATGGATATGACAGTACCATCCTGTGTGGAGGAATATGACAGTACCATCCTGTGTGATGGAATATGGACAGTTCCCATCTGTTGATGGAATTGAAAGTACCATCGTGTGGTTGGAATATGACAGTACCCATCCTGGTGATGGAATATGGGCAATACCCATTCCTGTGTGGTGGAATATTGACAGTACCATCCTGTGTGAGGAATATGACAGTACCCATCATGTGTGTTGGGATTATGACAGTACCAGCTGTGTGATGGAATATGACAGTACTCATCCGTGTGGTGGAATATGACAGTACCATTCCTGTCGTGATGGGAATATGACAGTACCATCCTGTGTGGTGGAATATGACAGTACCTGCTGTGTGGTGGAATATGACAGTACCCATCCTGTGTGGTAGAATATGAAGGTACCCATCCTTTGTGGTGGAAATTTGACAGTACCCATCCTGTGTGGTGACGATGACAGTACCATCCTGTGTGATGGAATATGACAGTACCCATCCTGTGTGGTGGAATATGACAGTACCCATCCTGTGTGATGGAATATGACAGTACCCACCCTGTGTGATGGAATATGACAGTACCCATCCTGTGTGATGGAATATGAGTACCCATCCTGTGTAATGGAATATGACAGTACCCATCC